TACGAGAGAATTGACAACCTACAATACCACAACGGAGGTAGTTTTTCTCCCTCAAGCTCCACCACTGGCTGAAGATGTTCAACTCAAACATCTTTAAGCGGAGATACATCTTCCTCCGCCAAGAAGACGTCCGCAGTCACGACAGGATAACGAACTTGCCGATACAACAAGTTCTGCACATCCTTTGCCCTCAACTCGGCAACCTCGCATTCTTCCAAACCTCCCAGAAGACTTAGCCCAACCACACATTGCTGAGCTCCCTCACAATGCTCTACGTCATGAACTACGGAGATTGGTACGGGAAGAGTTCCCCCGAGGGGATGTGAGGCAAACTCTCCGACAGAGGGATTTCCATGAGTCATCACCTCTAATTGAAGTCATTCTTTAGCACCCCATTCCGGTTGGATTCAAAGTACCGAACGTCGAATCCTACGATGGCACGTCCGACCCGTATGAGTATATCGACTACTATAGAACCATTATGCATATTCAACGAGCATCGGACGCACTCCTTTGCTAGGTTTTTCCTACCACCCTTAAAGGACAGGCTCGAACGTGATTCTATTCGCTTCCGCCCAGAACAATCCCTTCTTTCATCAAATTGGCCAAAATCTTCGTCGAATAATTCGTAGCCAATCGAATAATAGCTAAAGATTCTTCCCACCTATCCGGAATCTGCCAAAATGAGGGAGAATCGTTGAAGGAGTATTTTCAGCAAATTTCCACTGAAGCTAGACAGATTTCAGGAGTAGACCCTGAATTGCTCAGAGGGATCTTTCTTGGAGGCCTTCGTCCTGGCCCCTTCTATTTGGCACTCATGCGCGATATTATTCATTCATATGTTGATCTAATCCACCGTGTGAAGGCACAAATATTTGTAGATGAGGCCATAAATGCTTATAGGAAGCAGTTTGAGCAAACCAATGGGAATCGCAAATGTGCACCTGGGATGGACAATTCATTCTCACAACAGAAAAAGCAAGGGAAGAATAATCTACCTCCTAGGCCTCCATTACCGCGATAGGAACTTTGACAGGAGAAGGAGTATACCCCACTCAACACATCTCGAGCAAAAATATTGATGAACGTTCGAGATCAAGATACATTAAAATGGCCAAATCCTTTGAAGTCGAACACAGAAAATCCAGACCAGTACTGTCACTTTCATTGTAGTCGTAGTCACACTATCGAAGCTTGTAAGCAACTCAAGGATGAGATTGAAAGACTTATCAGCCAGGGCTATCTTTGATATTTTTTTTGAGATCCATCTACCCAAGAGGAAGCTCGTCCCGCTGGGGGCAAAATCAACAACAAAGACAACTATGGAATATTCTTCAAATGGTTGGAGAGATTGAATAATCATGCACTTCGTGCATTTGTATTAACAATACTACTTGTCTTGTTGTCTCTTTTATGTTGAGTATGGTGTCACTTTGATATTTTTAATGTATTCTTCCAAGTTAAATATTGTATTGTGCCCGTACGTATATCTTATGTGTTGAGTCATTGTAACTTGTATATCCCTGAGTCATACTAGGAAACTATTGTACTGACTTACATAATACAATAATATGATGTTCATGTTATTGTGATATTATTTTCTCTTATAAAAGATAAAAAACTTCTCAAACTCTTTTTCCGTGATTCAATAAATATACAATCTATATTGTATCTCAATCACCAGATGATCAATCCCAGGGGGATTTGGTCTTACATCCTTGGTAAATTCTCTCGACCTCTTCTACACAGGTTAACGTCATCGAGCAGGGATCTGACATACAACCTCGGATAGGTCTTACATCCTTGGTGGATTCTCTCGACCTCTTCCACGTAGGTTAACCTCATCGAGCAGGGATCTGACATACAACCTCGGATAGGTCTTACATCCTTAGTGGATTCTCTCGACCTCTTCCTTACAGGTTAACATCATCGAGCAGGGCTCTGACATACAACTTCGGATAGATCTTACATCCTTAGTGGATTATCTCGACCTATTCCACACAGGTTAACTTCATCGAGCAGGGCTCTAACATACAACCTCGGATAGGTCTTACATCCTTGGTGGATTCTCTTGACCTCTTCCACACAGGTTAACATCATCGAGCAGGGCTCTGACATACAACCTTGGATAAGTCTTATATCCTTGGTGGATTCTCTCGACCTCTTCCACACAAGTTAACATCAACGAGTAGAGCTATGACATAGAACCTCAGATTAGTCATTTATTATTGATATATTCTTCCAACCTCTTTCATATAGGTTAATATCATCAAGCAAAACAAGTGATTGATAAAATCATTACTCATATAAAGACCTTAGCAGTCTAATAGTACCTCAAAAAATATGGGGGGGTAATATATTAAAAGTATGTGTTAAAGATGTAATCACAATTCAACTTTCTCCAAGGAACAAGTTCTTAATTTCATATACAACATCAATGGAGTTACATAAGTTCATATTTAGATGTACATTTATTCTTACTAGAAGAAACGACTGCAAAAAAATTCTAACTTCTATACACGGAGAGGGGCCCTGAATTTTAGTAGGGGATGCCGCATATAGCAAACAGGGAAATGCCTCAACTCTAAGAAATTTAGAATGATAGGGGAGAAAATTTTTTTCTTCTACACTAGAGGGGGGCGCCGATTTAAGTAGGTAAAATCACCTACGAAAAATAGCGGAAGGCCTCTAAAGCAAGAAAGAAAGAAAAATGATGAGAAAGAAAGGAAAAAGTTGCAAAATTCTTCTTCTACACTGAAGAGGGGCGCCGATTTAAGTAGGGAAAATCACCTACGAAAAACAGCGGAATGCCTCTAAAGCAAGAAGAAAAAATGTAGGGAAAAAGGAAAAAGCAGAGAAGTCTCCAACTCCTGTACAAGGAGAGGGGTGCTGAGTCAAGTAGGGAAAGTCACCTACTTAAAAACAACGAAAAGCCTCAACTGTTATAGAGCCAAAGGGATAAGAGGAGAAGGGACAAGCTTCTCCTTGGCCCTGGGGGTCTATTTATAGTTTCTTTTGGGAGAAGGGGGAAGTTTCTAGAGTTTCTGAAATTTTCAAATTATTTGAATTTTTCTGAATTTTTTAGAATTTTTTCGGAATTTTTCCGATTTTTTTTCGAATTTTTTGGGTCAAAAAATTCCATGTGTACCCCACAAAAAAAATTCATAAGAGAACTGCCGACCCCCTAACCACACGCCCTGCGCGATGCGGTGCTGTCGCCGGTGGCAGCGGCGGGAGGCGGCCGGCCGGTCGGTTTAACCGCCTACGCGTGCTCGGGCCTGATTTTCGGCCCGGACGGTCCAAGTTCGACGTTTTTGGGGTCCCCGGACATGTTTTTCGACGTTTCTGACTCAATTTTGACACTTTCGGAGCTCAACGAGGCCTCTACAATCAAGTTCAAGCAAGCACTTAATTTTTGGAAAGAAATTTTTGGTGATTCGGTCAATGCAAATTGTCGACGCATATATTTTTGGACTTTTGGAGATTCGATGTTCGAAAATAGAGGCGCAACTGATACGTCATCATAAAATTATCTTGATCAGGCACGAATCTCGGCACAAAAATCAAGTTGGAAATTTCAAAAATTAAATCCGAGAGCATCTGAACTCCGATTTCAGCGAGCTTATAGTCAAACTGAGCGTCTTGGAAATACGAACCCAACGACACCAAATTCAACTCATTTTGAGGCCAAATGTGCCCAAATCAAGAGCCCGAAGTGCTATTAGAAAGCTCACACCCCAATTTGATTCACCAAACGGTCTCCGATTTTAACGAGCTTATAGTCGAATCGAACGGCTCGACGAGATGAATCCAACGAACTCAAGATCGCCGAATTCCGACATCACTAAGGACTTCAAATGTCCAACGAATTGTGCATGATCGAAGTATTCAATATCAGCCGTCCATTCGGCCACTCCCTATTTGCCCCTGATCTCACACCTATTTACTGGCTATGCCACTCCAGAAAAACTATAAATAGACCCCTCCTTTCTCATAATAGGGGACCCAAGCAAGAAGAAGAAGAGAAGAAGAGGAGAAGAGAAGAGAAGGAGAGGAGAGAATAGCTCCTCCTCGACAACCATCGGAGTTCTTCCCGTCGTCAGAACGGCGCCAGAATCCCGCGGGACGCCCGAGTGACGCCAGAACTCTGTTCGACTATGTAACTGAATTTCAATACAGAAGAAACTCATTGTAATCTAATCATCCTAACTTGTTGGACGAATCAGCCTCTTGTATTTCAAACTATACTAGTGGAACTTTTCAAGTGGGCGTGACCCTGTGATTTTTTCCCTTTTTTTGGGTTTTCCACATAAAAATCATGGTGTTCTTTTATCTTATGTTTGTGTGTGCTAGATATTCGTACAACGCTCAGACGAAAATTTTCTAACTCTACTGTCACGTATATTCTAATACGCAACAAAAATATATAGTTTACTTTAGATAAATTTATGTTATTTATATTTTTTATATCATTTAAAAATTATAGAGTTGTACAAATAAATATAAATATTTGTATATTAAATATTTAAATATATAAAAAATTTAATGGTATGTTATTTGTAATTGAGTATTGTACGCTTAACAACTCATAAATATTTTTAGTTTTCATAGATTATGAATTGAGCAGTGTAAATGAAGCATTGCCTTTTTACCCTTCGTATACCTGGTATGCATAAGATTCTGATAGGTGAGGTTTAGCACAGGCATTTCATCAAACATCTGACGTGCATCAAATGAAATGGCGTTCCACATACAGCATTCTGATGTGGCAATTCATCAAACACCTCCTCTACATACAATTCACTGTTGTCGATGAAGATGGAGATGGCGTGTTCAATAGGGATGAAAATCCTACCCAGCGAAATTTGATTATTTGATCTGATAGAATTGTTACCCTAAACTTATTATTAAGAAGATTATTTATATTATCTATAACGATAATCCCACATAATTAAATATTAGAATAACTTAGAATCAAAACAGAAAAAATCTAAACTAAATACAAGAAACAAACTGGAATCATTGTTCTATAACAAAAGAGAGGGCAAATTATCACATTAACAGCTCATTTCTATCCATATTCTCTCTAATTACGCACAAAAACATCTGCAGCTATCATCATCAAAATAAGCTGAAAACCATAGAAACAAAACCTGCTTAACTTGTATAAAAACTTGATCATCTCACATCATAGAACAAGCATTAGGATTGTCATCACTAAAGATTGAAATATACTTCTCCATGGTACCGCCTGGGCTTGGCATTGCTTGAGGAACTTTACGAACAAACCCAGCTGGTGCTTTTTTGTCATAAGCACCAGCAACATAAGGGTAGAAAACTAAGTTATGAGGGGCATAAGGCCAGAACTCAGCTACCTTCCCTGTGCTCCTTACCCTCTGTAAAACCTTTCCGGGTTCCACATGCCCTGTTACAGAAACTCGGCTTTGATTTCTATTCACATCTACTGATATTACATCTGCAAAATAATCAAATTTAGCTCAGTGAATATATAAAATCGTGTTGCAGGTAATTATGAAAGCATAATTACATGTACATATAACATAGCATTTTTTGTCAGAGGTTTTTGGAATGCATTAACATTTATGATTTCAGATATTTTTGGAAATTAAAGCTCCTGAAACTCATTTCTTAAGTTTATGAAATGAAGTTTCTGTGCTATGTTAGACCGGTCCAGCCAGTCCATAGGGACCTGCTTGCGAAACAGAGGCAGGATCTCCGCCTCCTACGGAGGTCGTACGATCCGAACGCCCAGATGGAGCTATTCAGGAAAGATTTTTGAGGGATTTGGGAGGGAAATTTGAATGTAGGGATTGTTCAAAGATTTCCTTTTAAATTGCACGCATTAAATAATTTGTTTTCCTAGGGTTACAACATCTTGAATTTGGCTGAAATTTGAGATCTCTTAGATTAAAGTTTTCTTTTGGGCTCTAACAGCATCTAGAGATTTGGGAGAGATCTATTCTCATCTCGAATAGAGGATCGATTATATCCTGCTATTTTCCATTTCCCTTTCATCAAATAATACAAATTATCTACTGTTTTCATGATTTTATGCAATTTTTTGTGGAGAATTCTCGCTGTTTTTCAAAGATTGATAGAAAATACTTGAGATCTACGAGTGTTTCATATCATTCTATTAATTAGCATAAGCTTGATCAACTGCTCCTTGTTTATTTTTTGTTTATGGGCCACTTTTTACGTGCTATCAAAAAGATTGGTACAAATCTAATAATCTACGGAACTATAAGATACTACTAGGCCCTTCCATGGACACTGCATCAACCATGCTAAGAAATCCCTTAGATGAGAAATTCACCATTAATCACCTAATTTACTATATTTTATAGTAGCATATAGCCTGTAATTAGTTCCATCTTCAATCAACCCTTGAAATTACTAATAGTGTCTTGGGGGTTTATTAGGTTTTCTATGTTTGCACCTATGAGTTTTATTATGTTTCCTGTGTGGCTCTTATAAAAGGTTATATTTAGCTGGACAATCGATGAGAGTTGATCTTGTCATCAAGAATTTAATGGGGTCCCCATTAAATAGTAGAATAATGATATGGGCCTACATCTATTTGGAGTTATTTATTTAATAAAATTTCTTAGAGCAAATATGGCCACACATTATAGTATGAGAAAGGCGAGCAACTTGATTGAGCAATTATGTTTGTCTGGGTTGGGTTGATCATGGGTATGTTAGACTGAGTCGATTCAAGCATGTATGTGCTTCATTCAGCTTTTATAAATCAATAAGTGGTTTGGCACCTAAGCCGATCTATTGCTTCAGTTGGGATAACTATTGTATTATTTTTATAAGCAGTTTTTAAGTACATAAATTTTTTGCATTAAAAAGTTGTTATAGAAAGTAGCAGAAAAGCTGTTCCAACGAAGCCTATATCGACTCGACTCAACTCACTAATTAGCCTCTAGATTTGACCGTTATAGATGCTCAATGATTCATACATTATTTTTAAGTTTGTGCTTGTTCACATCTACTTCTTAGGAACCCAAAAATTATTGTTGTGGCTTCAGAAAGAGTCGAACAATCTTGCAACAAAAGCAGACTTCTTATGAGCAGAGGAGACTTCTATAACTTTCATAAAAAGCTGCATGAGATGCTGATTACTTCCACTGCACTAATTTTTTTTTTTTTTGCCATTTCTCTAATTTCATTACATTTTAATTCTCTCATCTGGACTAAGGCTTCATTTGGGATTGCTTTCATACTATTTTTAAAGCGACTTTCAAGTATACAAATTAAATTTTTTACAAAAAACCGCTTTAAGAAGAAGGAAAAAAACTGTTCCAAACAAAACTTAAGGCTTTATTTGGGATGACTTTCTTACTACTTAAACTAAAAAGTTGTTTTAAGAAGTAATAAAAAAGCATCCCACCTAATAAATCAGGTAAACTACTTCTATCATCGAACCAACACCTTTTATTTATAATTAACACCGATTCTCCTATTATATAAATGATTAATTCGTTTGTAAAATAATATAAACTTTAAGGCTTCGTTTGACCTTCTTACTGTTTTTAAAGCAATTTTTTAGTAAAAAATTCAAATTTTTATACTAAAAAGTTGCTTTAAGAAACAATAAGAAAGCCGTCCCAAATGAAATCTAAATAGAAAGAAAAAACTAAATAATTATAGCAAATTTGATCAGAAGAGCAAATTATAATGAAAGATCTTCACTTTTCATTGTGCGGACAGCATGCTTTACTTTTCTTTCACAGCCATCACAGTCCATTTTGACCTTTATCTGCACAGTCTATTTTGCTCACACAACATAACAATACAAACTGAGTTAGAATTGCACTAACAAACTTATTTTTCATAGAACAAATGAAATGTTACAAAGCTTACCTGGAGTGGCTTCTTTCTCTTCTTCCTCCTCAAAGCTCTCCTGGTGTATGTGAAGCTACACACTCTAGAAAAATGGTCTAGTATTCCCATCTCCCTTGCTTCCTTGAAAGAGAGAGAGAGAGAGAGAGAGAGAGAGAGAGAGAGAGAGAGTAAGGGGAAATATATGTGGCTAAGCTGAGCATTTATAGTGCAAACTGGTAAGTTATGTGGCAAGCATGACATACTTTAAACAGTTCCATTTATGGTCCAATAATACAAACAAAATAATATCATCAAAGCTGTAACAATCCTGCAATAATTGCAGTGCTGAATCATGCTTGAATATGTGCAGATTTTGTATTTAATTAGAAGCATACTTATCAAAGATTATTTGGTCATTAAGCAATATATTTGCTTGCTAATGAATGTTTAACTTATCTTTAATATCTAATTTGCATTCAGATTGACGCTTTGGTTCTTTCAGATAAGCATCAGAGAAAGAGTGTTCTTCACAAATAATTCTCTTTTGATTTAATTGTTGCTGATCCAAATCTATTTAGCTCTTTGATTACTGTGTTGTAAATTATTGTGAATTGTAATTATTGGTTTTGCAATTATACCATCGACTAATTTGTCAACAGTGACGTTCTACCTCACCTATGAGATGTGGATTGGTGAGGGGGTGATAGACAATTTCTTGCTTGATAGTTTTGCTGAGTGGCAATCTTCATGGCCTTCAATTTAGGCTAAAAGTCAGGCTTTTGGATTGTTTTTTTTTTCGCAAGGAGTTGGTGGGCTCATTTGATTTCTAGTAATAAAAACATATTAGTTAGAATTTTAAAATTTATTTTCTTTTAACTCATTTTTTAATTGTGACATATAAAATTATTGTTATTGAGATATTTTTTAATGTGAAATATGAAATTCTAGGGATGTTTAAGAAAGTAAGGAGGAATATATAAGTGTAAGTCTTCATTTGAGATAGTTTTCTTATTGCTTTATAAAATGACTTTTTAGTACAAAAATTTTCTGAACTATTAATTTTATAATAGGAAGCTGCAATAAAAAAGTTGTCCTAAGTTATACTATTTAAAATAGTTCAAGCTTATTTGCGATATCATCGATCCCTTACAATAATTTCTTAAGAACTCTTACAACAGCCTTAACAATTTTTTCAGAGGATATAAAAGGTTTAGAAGAAGGAATAAGAGAAGCAAGTGCACAAGCTAAAAAAATCTTCTCTCCCCCATCTCTTGTTGATTTGGATTTTTTGCCCTAGTGTCACACACATTTTAGGGTTTGAATTTGATACATTTTAGGGTTTAAAATTTTTTATTTATATTATGTGCTATTAGGCCAAAGCTCTTGATTTATTATATAATAGAGTTTAGTTGGATCATCCACCTTTATTCGTATTCTACAATACAATTGGTTATATTAATTTAAATATGGTTGCGTTTGAGATGGCTTTCTTACTGTTTCTTAAAACAACTTTATAGTGCAAAGTTTTTAATTTTTGTACTAAAAAGCTGCTTTAAGAAGTAGTAAGAAAGCCGTCCCAAACAAATCCTATATCTCACTAACCTGTAATTCTTGGTGATTAATTAAATTAATTTACAAAACCCACATATAGTATGGCTCACAGTATGATACATTAAAATTTAAATTAATGCAATTAAAATAATTAATTAAATGATTTAACCATTTAAATTACCCCTAATCACATGGTATGAGCCACATATGGTATACTATGATTAGTTTTATATATATATATATATATATATATATATATATGATTAGTTCAATTATTAATCTCTAGAATTAATTTAAATTGATCTTTTCCAGAATAAAAAATAATGGAAGATTGTATAGTATATGATTTATACCATTGTATGATTACTTTTGATCAAATTCTATGAATTGTTTTTTTTTATAATTTTAGTTTTAACTTTTATGTGTATGTTACTTATCTTCTAATCATCTACACCTGAATACATAACACGGACTCAATAAAATGAAAAAAAAAAGGAGATAATTTAGGACTCATTTAGTTTCGTGATTATTGCATGCTAGGCAAATTAATTTCTTGAGTTTTCTTATCATACAGTTCCTCCGAAGACTGAAATGCATTGCTAATCTTTTGCTATGAACAATCCTTTAAGTTTTTATGAGGCATTGAAATTTACCTAATATATATTCAAAAAATTATCTTGATCAGGCACAAATCTTGAGGCAAAATCAAGTTTGAACCTTCAAAATTAAATTAGGAATTGAAGATCATTTGAAAGGTTCAATCCATAATTTGGATTACCAATTAGTTTTCAAACGTGGCTTACTTATAGTCGAATCGAGCGGCTAGACAAGACAAATCAAGTGAGCCTAAGATCATCAAATTTTGATATCATTAAGACATTCAAATGACCAGTAAACGATCCATAATCAAGGGATTCAACATCGGCCATCCGTTCAAACTGCAATCTCAATTTACGCATGATCTTCCTCCTATTTACGATTCGATACATTTTAATATGAATGCAGGATACTAGTTACTTTGATCCTAAGAAAGAAAGGATTAACAATATATATAAGAACTCCATGTGGGTAGAGGTTCAATAATTAATTCGGTAGAAATAAAAAAGGGCCTAATTTGATATGACAAAATGAGTTTGTTGCAACTCAAGCTTATTAGTTTATATTTTTGATGATAACAAATATTATGACTCACTTTCTGTTATCTACATGTATTTGCAATATATATTTGTTTGTGTGTATAATAATATTTCAGGAATACCATGCAACATCAAACAAACAATCAGAGCTCAAGATTGTGTTGAATAATGTTATGTTGTAAAAGGGTCTGTAATATTCATTGATGTAATTTTGATTTCTTGAGTCAAGTATTGTAAGGGTGTATGCTTGCTTGGTGACCATGCACACACTCAAGGGAGTGAGATCTAGTCAAATCCAAAAGATCAAGTTTTGAACTAATCGTACTATACGATTTTGGATCATCCAGAACGATCCTTTATGATCTTGGAAATAGCCGCCAATGACAATTTAGGCAAAGATTTAAGTTTAAAATTTTTGTTCTAATCGTCTCGGACGATCTGGATCGTCCAAGACGATCAATACAAATCATGCCTAAATTGATCCTATATTAGGGGTTAATTATGGTTAAATTTTACAATCGGATTGTCCTGGACGATCTGTATATCATACAGAACGATTTTTGCCGACATACTTGATTTTCCTAAATCGTCCAAGCCGAAATACTATAATTTTTCTTCAAATCGTCATGGACAATCCACAATATCGTCTTGGACGATCTGTACATTTTGGTACTAATCGTCCTGGACTATCAGGTCAAATTATGCACATCATACTGGACGATCCTGCGATCGTCCAGGATGACTCTGGGTGTCGAAATTGAGTTTTTAATGTTTTCTGAAGCCCTCTTTTTAAGCGCATCGTACGGGATGATCCTGCGATCGTCCTAGACGATGTTTGGCTCCGAAATTGAGTTTTTAGGGTTTTCGAAACCTCTCTTTTTATGCATATCGTACGGGACGATCCGGCGATCGTCCTGGACGATAATGTCAGTTTTGCAATCTATTTAAAGACATATTGATTTCTCATAAAGTCTCTTTGGCAGCCATTGAAGCTTCATTCTTCTTGAGGAAACTTGAACAGAGAGCTTAAAAGGGAGAGAGGAAAGGGTGGAGTTTGAGAGAGGGAGAAGATCCTTGGAGGGAGTATCAAGGGAGTATAGAGGTGGTTCCACACGGTTACTTCGGTGAGCTTGCAACTTAGTACCAATCGGATTCAATGCTCATCTTGAGGGAAGTTTTGGGAAGAAGAAGAAGATTTCTTTGGTGTCAAAGGGCCCGGCTACTCCGCCGCACTAGGGAAGGTGGAAGTGATTTTGTAAGGGCTTCTTCGCCTAGCTGTGAGGGCTAAAGGAGAGCCACTGAGTTTAGTGCAATACTCTGATGGTGCCTCCGAGGAGTTGACGTAGGTCAAGGTTTGACCGAACCACTATAAATATGGTGTGCTCTTTTCTTTATTATTTTCATATTTATTTTCTGCACTTTGATTTTCTTTATGGTGAATTTTGGTTTGGTTTGTGTTTTGTTTTTGATCATGAAAGATTTTTTAAAATACCAATTCACCCCCCTCTTGGTTAGCCTTGGGCTAGTTCATAAGGGCTTAACATCCCTAACAAACTTTCAAGTGGCATCAGAGCAGGATTCATAAAAATAAGTTTTTGAAAGCTTTTGAATTTTGATCCATGGCTAATTTTGGTAATCGTAATACCGCGGAAGGGTATTCCATTGCAATTGAAATTTTAGACGATGTAATAAATCATTTAATTTTTAACATCATATAATTTTATAGTCCTAAAATATTAATTATAAGTAGGCGAGTCAATATTTGACACGACATGAAAATCCGACCCATAAAATCTGGATTGGACCCGACCCGATTTCAAAATAGGTCAGGTTCGGGTTCCCGGATTCGAATCGTTTGAAAAATGGGTTGGTTTCGGGTTGACCCGACAGATTATCATGTCAACTCGCCAACCTGTTTAACTTGAACTACCCGCAGCTGCCCGACCTGCCCGCCTGCCAGCTGCCGCTCGTGCGCACTGCCCGAGCTGCCCCCACGCTCGCTTGCCAACTTTGCACACGAGCGTGCCTCGCAGCTACCGCTCTTGGGCCCCGCTTCTTCTCGTGCTTCCCATGGCCACCCGATGCCGCCCATGCTCTCGCCCGCGTGCATGCGCGTACCCCCCCCCCGCTAGCGCTCTCCCGCTCGCCGCGCATCCGCCCGCTCGGGTCCATGCCCACGTCCGAGTCGGGTCAACCCATGTCGGGTCGGCTCAACCCGGTAATCAGCCTGGTCGGGTCTAGGTTCGAATTTCTTACACGTTACCTACCCGGGTCGGGTTAGGGTCGAACCGTTTGAACCCGGGTCAATTTCGGGTTCGACCCGAACCCGACTCGTGACTCAAAATTGACACACCTAATTGTAAGTTAGCAAACATAATAAAACATATTTTTGGATATCATTCTCGCCTTTTGTAAGTATTTTGCTTGAAATCAACAAAATAAAAAATGATAATTAATCAATTTATCTTTAGAAAATAGTTTTTATATTACCAAAATATAAGTAATACATTAATTA